GTGTGTGTGTGTGTGTGTTTATGTTTGTGTGTGAATCTATATTAAATTTTCCTCCGTAATTACAAGTTATTGAAAATGAGCATTCTCGTTATTTTTTTCTAAGTGTGTTTGTGTACAGCTTCAAGGTAGTGTGCACTGGGATCACTTCTTTGTTTCCAAATCAAATCAACACTGAGCAAAACTTTCACACCTCATATACATAAACCTCATCCCCTGTGAGGATCACCTTCATAGTAGCTTTTGGATCTGCGTTTTATGCATGTGCACGAGGATACCTGAGTTATGTACTATATATATATATATATGCTACGAGCATTCCTTTTTTTGTTATCGACAGTATGTCTTGGACTTGTTTACATGCAGGTGTGGCTAAGAAGGAAAATAGACGAGGTTGGTAGGAGTGATTCGTCAGTACTACTCACCGAACAAGCTAAAATAGTATTGTAAGTACATTTTTGTGGGTTATAAGTTCGTTGTGGCTTCACCATTCAACCAACGAATGCGAGTCCGCAAATAAGTATCAGACAAGTGTCTGATTTGTCATATGGCTGACTGGCACTGGCCTATCAATTGTCTGATGGGTCCTATGCTTAGAATAGGAATATGCGTGATAGGTGGTCTGCAGTATTGGCTTATGCCACCCACAACTGTTGATTTTTTGACACACAGTCGGATTGGCTTAGAAGCCATCGTGTGAAGTCGTTTATTCTTTTTGGCTGCACTTGTGGCTAGGTATGAGAGGACATTAATCCAGGAAGGGGTTTGCGAAATGTTTGATGCATCAACCTACAAAACCGTAGTACTCTGATTGACCACTAGACTGGGCCTTTTGTCACCAATGGAACGAACCCGATTTTCCAATAAACACATTTATCTTCCAAATTAATGCCATTAAAAAACTCACCGACTACCTTATCCGACTATCAAGGGGCCGTATCAAACGTCCTGAATAAATCCATCATACTCGTCAAACGTCCTATATAAATCCAACATACCTTCTTTCCATCCCTCTCCTGGCAGGCGTGTGCGGCATCCGCAGATTGCCGCATTTCTGGGCTTCATCATGAATCCCGTTATCACATTTGTGTATGAATCGTTCCAGAACGGACCGTTGAGCACATTCCTGTTTGACCTGTCTCACCCGCTCACAATGCGGTGCAGGTATGTATGTATATGTATGTATACACATATATTATTCCAATCGGTAGGTATATGTAGCTACGTGTTAGAGGGTGAGTCAAGTGTCACTCTAGCGATGAGATGACACCCTGATTGTATACTTCCAGATCTCATGGGGGATATGCAATATCAGTTAGTCACTTTTGGTGATCATTTGCTCGCTTGATATTCGCGGATCTGTGTCAGGTCTATTAAGCGTGACAAACCTCTTAACAAAATAATTTCGAGGGGGTAGTATAAGTTCCCAAATGTATGGTTTTTCAAATTTTAAGTTAAAAACCAGACCTTAGTGCGCCGTGATCCTGTGAATGAGGGTGTCTATTGGACCTAGTCTCTATACTCTCCACAGTTACTCTGGATACGTGCATGGCACCTTTTTGTACTCCAATCGTATCATACGGAGTGAAATACTATGCATACTAGCCAAACCTATGCAGTCATTCAAGTTGTGACTTTGTTTCTATCGAATAGGTTCGAAATGGCGCTGGATATAGCTACCGGGATGCATTATCTGCACAACTGCCAGCCGCACGTTGTGCACTTGAACATCACGCGTCACTCTGTGTTTGTAACACGGAAGTATGAGGCAAAGCTGGGTGACTTTACCACCGCCGTATCGATGGGTAGTCAGAGCGACGAAAAACGGTAAGAGTGCTTGTACTCGGACGCATAGGTATTGGTGTATGTGTGTGCTATCATGTTATCATATCCGGCCGCAGACTCGAGTATCATGGGTGTTCACTGATGCATCGTTAGTTACACACAAATCAATGACCACGAGTTGCTTGGTGCACATAGGGTCTCAGTAGATGAGTAGTTGAGCTTAAAAATGGATCGAGATTGTTTACGCACATATGTATGCATGTATCTGTGTTGTTAATATTTATTTGTCCGGACCAGTCCATGTCAATGTATCACAACTACAGGCGCAAATATATACTCGTCCCGACATAATTTTTTTATTACTTGCATCTCAAAGAGCACATTCTCTCCATGGACTTGTCCTCAGTCTACTTATGGGCATTTCGACCTATGCATCACCTGCGGTCTACAGCCATACCCGGCTTTGTTCTCTCATACCCGTAAGATCCTTTGCACAACCGTGTGAATAATATTTACTTATGCATCACCTGCGGTCTACAGCCATACCCGGCTTTGTTCTCTCATACCCGTAAGATCCTTTGCACAACCGTGTGAATAATATTTACTTAACAAATATGCAACGGCCTTGATCAAGACTTTCGTTTTCGAACACGGAAGGTGTGAGTGCACATCATACTGTTCCCATCACTCTGTAGCAGTCATGTGAAGTTAAATATATGTAAAAATATGATGCATACATTCTATTCAGCTCAGCTCATGCGCCCCTGTTTTAGATACAAGCAAGAGTGCCTGGCAGATATCCAAGCGCTGGGCAAACTGCTATTCGAATTGATAGCCCGAGAGGAATGGAATGTAGTGAGGTTCAAAGCACTCGTAGAGCAATGTACTGCTCTCGACCGACCCTCCGAAGTAGTGGAAGATACAGCTCCACCGCCTCCGCTCAGCACACCACCTGACTCTGCAGGTAAATCCGCATTAGTGAGACGAAGTATTAACGCCGATGGCGACCATGCCGACTGTAAAGCACGCGGCCCTACGGTAAACCACCCAGAGAAGGGTGAAGCTTGTACTGAGCAAGTGGAGGGTATTAGTAGTATTCAGCGGGAACGACTACCACCGACAGAAGTGGACGCCCTGATGCGCGAGCCGTCATGTGCCACGCGCGAGGCCGTTAGAATGGCTGTGCAGCTGATTGAGGCGTGTGTGTTTGCGAGCGATACGGTGGACTCCGAACCCATCAAGAGCGCACGAGTGGTCAACCGGTTAGAGAAGATAATCATGTCCTTAGGTGATACGTAGCAGGGGCTATAAAGTGATTAAAATTCAACTATTAGCTATCGTTAGTCTTTCGTACATTCTATCATGGGTTGGGTTCTTATTTATTGTCTCCATTGGGTTCGGCAGATCGTTGGATTGAGGAGTGTACACGCTTGCTGTTGGCCTACATCCTTGTTTTGCGACCCATAACGAAAAAAATTCACAACGTATTGTATAAAGATTTGCCTATAAATTGTGGGCAGCTCACGCGAAACTGTTTCTCGCACTCGTGTCATGTGCAATCGCAAACGCAAATAAGATCGAGCAAGAGTTGTGTATGTCTCTGTCTCAGTCTATGCATTTACCTAAAAGTAAGTGCGCGAGCCGTAGGAGGAGGAGTGAGCCGTGTGGTTCTCATTGACACGGATATGAGGTTTAACTAATAAACTGAGACGTCTACTCGAATGCACTAGTCGAATTAACGGAATTTAGATCTAGGGCAATGATGTCTTTAGCGGGCACCTATATTCTGCATGGTTAATACAAACTGAGACTATCCATTTAAACAACCTGTGTTAGTACACATCATATTTTCACACCACAAGAAACCCAATAGTGTATCGCTTCAAACATGTATATAGTTCAAGCTAGAGTTTAATCCAGCTCAGGTGTCGTCTTTTAGCTAGATTATAGCAATATTCTGTGCGTGACTTTGATCATGCGCGACTTCTGAATGACACAATATGCGTTACAAGGGCCAGTCCGACAAAAATTGGTTGGAAAGCCTCTGCATTGTGTGTTGCACTGGGATTCAGCCCAACTTCTTGTCGTTCAAATTGATCCGGGTAAATTTTAGGATGAATTTATCGCCTTTCATAGATGATCACCTCTTCCCGGAGAGGTGATTTTGACTGACCGCAATTACATGCGTGAATTCATATTCTACAGACATGATTCGACAAGTTTTATTCGCGATTATACTTCCATACGGCATAGTATTACTATTTAACCATTGAGTCTCAAATGAATTAGAATCACATTGCATTTTTGAACATATCAACTGCGAGCACGCTTGGAACAAAAAATGTTGCAGAACAAAAGCATCACTCTCGTATTCGCGCTAGCAGCGACTGTATTGGCGGTCACGTGCACTGATGGCACTGACAAGACCACATACGATGCAGGCAAAGACCAGGCAAAAGCGCAATGGGATGCATCTTTTCAATTCACTGGCTGTGATAGAGTGGACGACCTGTTGCAGATCACAACAGACAGCGGCCCCACAGAACCGACTTGTCTCGTGATGGGGTATCAGGATCAGTTGTCAATGAGTTACGCCGCAGCGGTGGAAGAATGTGACGTAACATGCGCAGCAGACGCTGAACAAATGGCCAAGGAGCAATGGGATGCGGCTTTGATTGACATTGGATCAGAGTGTGCCAAAGCAGACCAAGTTTTAAGCTACACTCTGGGAGCTGCCCCCGCCACACCACAATGCGCTAATGATGCCTATGTGGCCAAGATTCAGGCACTTTACACCGAGAAATTCAGCAATTGTATCGAGGCATGTCAGGGGAACGGCAAGCAACACGGTTTCCGTCTGGGACAACAGTTCTGTGGTGTAGCCGCCATACTTTTGGTTGGTGATCCACTGGTGGTAGCCATTTGTAATCTGGAAGAGGAAAGGGCATGTAAGTTGGCGATGAAGGAATATGCACTGGATAACTGCGCAGATGAGTATAATAAACGAGGCATATTACAATGATTTGGAAACTGGTTGCGCTATCACAATATGTCCGGATGCCAGATCTTGAGATGGCATCTGTACTGCTCCCATATGATTTTGTCACGGTTGGTGAGGGTCAAGACCGGATCAATGTGTTTCATCCATATGTTGCTGATGTGTCGGCCCGGATCACACTGGTGAAATGTTACAATGTATCCAGACGGTACTACACCCAATGCTGTAGGAAAAAGGAGTATACTGTACGCACCGGAACATTGTGAGTGTATATCGCGCATTCATTTTGAATTCGTTCCCGCTTGTTTAATGCAACCAGATAAGACGATCCGCTACCGCAGTTTACGTTGCGAGGGAGCATGTTTTTTGAGAGCTCTTTATAAATATATATATATACATATATCTATACCAATTCAGGGTTTGCGCGTAGTGAATTCGAAACACATGAACGCACGCTCTGCACGCATCTCGCACCAAGATTACATTGTAAACTCATTTTGTGCTTTTAAAAGTATGTATTCATAAAAAAACTTAACCCATGAAAATACAGTCTCGAGTCTCTCGACTATTTTTATGATTTGCATGATTATCCGAAATATTACGCTATTTCACGTTAAGAAGGCAGCTATATCATACAATAAAGCCTCAGGTCAATTTTATTCAAAAATTAGCACAATCGATGAACATGGCCAAGAAGGGTATAATAGTGGCCATTGTTGAAGTATTTAATTCGGAGTATTGATACATACTGAGAAGGCAGCCTGTACTATATACTCTTGATCATCTTTAGAAGACACCCGGATGAAAGCTTTGAGTAGCTGGCACAATTGATGGACACGACAAAGTCGACAATGCCTCTGCGTTTAATCAAATGAAGACTAAGGAAGCAACTTTTAACATCCTGGCATTTAAGCCCATAACTGGTAAGGTTATGCTCTGTACTTTTATTGCGCTGATAGGAATGCACAATCCACCTATAAATATCCTAATGGCAAGCCGCTGAAATACATATTATAAACAGCCAACCGACATTGATACTTTAAGCAATTTGGAATATGCCTGTCACCCAGGGAGTTTAAGTTTGCCTCTTTGGATAAACTGACATGCTCACATTTTTTGCCATTATTCTGATCTCGGTCACTTACTGTTTTATTCCGCTAGCACGACGTCTACTGAATCAGCCTTTTCTGCCCTATCTGATACGTTTCGATCGTGAATTCTATGAACTGGGATACACGGAAAGTACATGTTCTGCTTTTGGGTTGCAGTGCATCACTCTTTAGCTTTTTCTAGTATGCATCATGGCTTAATATACTATACACGATTGTGATTCTGGTCTAAATATATCCCTGGACTTACAAGCTGCTCACTTGACTATCTACTCATCTTAATTGAATTTTAACTGTTCATGTGAAATATCCTCGGACTCTGGGCTTCGGCACTGATCAGTTTTGACTTAAGTATGCGTAACATGTTTGTCGTATAAGTGTAGTTTCCTGGTATGTATTTACTTCTTTTGTATACAAATAGTTTCTGAACCCACTTCATTGACTCACAGTTCACAGTTCACAGTTCACAGTTCACAGTTTACAGCTCACACTTCATGCGACATCATGACATGCCACAATGCCACAATGACCAATGCCAAGTTGTACATATACAAATTCGAAATTCCTTAAACAGGTCAACGACTCAACGCGTGCATATTGATTGGCTGCATTTTTCATTTGTGACATGACGTCAACAATTCGTAACATTCAATGATATATGACGCCATCCAAAACAAATGTATTTCCTTCTCTTGTGTCTATACACTGTTGAATGCTATGGTTTAAAATAGTGAATAGTGATGTGTGTGCGCGTGGATACACATGTGGTCCACATGCGTGAGGTGAATTTCTAAGTCCTACATATGTAGTAATGTACATACAATCGGATGCCTCAAACATTGTAATTAGAGTATTTAAATCCATTTATATGTATGTGTTTGGGTTTGCTTTAAAAATTAAAATAAAAAGATAGTACACAGGCAACCCACAGAGTCGTCAAAAGTCAAAACACATGGCTCTCTCTAGAAGGTCTGCGCTAAATTTTCATTTCGTTCGCAGAGAGAAGCCTGGTTTCAGCTCATTTTGTGTGCAACTTGCGACGCTGGTCCTTGATAACACTCAGGAAACAAACCCGATTTTAACGCTTTAAGATATCGCGATCGGGCGTGCCGGAGATCGATTTTCAGGCAACATACCTGAGTAACAACTGTGGGGCTGATGGCTTGAACGCGAGGAGTCTGAAAAAAAGCGCAATGTAGTCTTATGACTCGATTATGTTTACGGAATGTCTGAGTAATACGCGGACGAGATCCAGGTATAATCGAGAAAAAAAAAGCATCTAGAAATCAGGTATTACATTTTACACCTCGAGCACTTAATCGGGTATCGAATGTAGCGCTATAGTAGACGCTTTGTATATTTATCTGAATCAAAATGTAGGTAGCATAATTTATATTAACATGTAATATATAATACTGATAAGAATTTCCCCATTCAATTATCAGACTCATGCAACGTTATTCTTCATTACTTAGTTTCACTGTGTTATGTAGGGTAGATATTTCTTTATTTTAAGTAGTGGCAGATGTATGCGCCGGTGTAGTAAAAGTCCCCTTAAACCACCATCAGTGTGGAGTTAGAATTAGTTTACAATTAATACACACGAGGTGAATTATTTGTAGACCACGTAGACAATCAAATATAAGAATAAATACACCGCACTGAGCCTCAGGGAGACTCGGTAGGTTTTAGTATCGTATTTTGATGTGTTTACTACACCGGGTGGTGGGTGGCGTCCGGCGGTAGTCTGATCATGACCTAAGAGAGGGCGGGTTAACCCCAAAATGAGAGAGGCTCTCTCTAATGCTCTCACTCTAAGCCTCACTCACTGTCTTTGTAGTGGAGTCTGGGGAGAACATACATATATAATTAAAATACCTGATTTTGTGTTCGGCTTCTGTTCTGGGTGTTAGTGGGGGGATGAAACGAACCCCCCAAAAATTAAAAATGATAACAAAATGGCCAAATAAATGATGAACGACAAATTCATTTTCTACACATTTTTATTTTTCGCAAATTGCAGAGCCGAATAACCGATATCTGGTCATATTATTGAACTTTTTATTTTGTATCTGAAGCACAAGAGAGGCGACCACGATGCGTCTCTGTTCTGAGAGTCATAACTGAGGGATCTATAAATGCCCACTGTCGTCATGCTCAGTCCTCAGATACAACGAAGCTATAATACAATCTATATGCAACATGCCGCCCAAGAAAAGTACTCTTGAGCATTTCTTCAAGGCACCTCCTTCAAAAAGAACACGCAATGCTGCGTCACCGTCATCGCCATCGACAACGACAAAATCATCAACAGACTCGCTGGTCCCTTCAAGTCATCCTACATACCAATTTGCCATACCCCAACTCCCAAATTCAATTACCGAATCTCTTGAACACGCCATTCCTTCGCTTGACAATGGCAAGCGCGTCGACGACCAACCACATCTCGACCTCGTCCACTTCCATCGCTACCTCCCTCGCGGCATCGAAGCCAGCATATTTGACTTTTTACGCGAGAATTTGTTCTTTTATCGCGTGCAGTATGCAAAGAAATTCGGAAATAAGGAAATGCAGATTAATACGCCAAGGTATACTACTGTTTTTGGTGTTGACGAGAGTTCGTTCTTCAATGCGCAACCTGGCTCTGACTCTGGGCCTAACGTTTGTGTTGAATGTATGGGTACTGGGGCCTGTAATCATGGTGTTGATACTAGGACAACCCAGGTTATATTTGACAGTAAAAGTAAATGTCCTGTTCCCAAGGACCGGTACTCGTGCCGTCCGCGACCAATACCAGACGGCCTTATGTTTTTGAAGAAAATGACTGAAGCCTCCACCGCTCAGACATACAACTTCTGTCTCGTGAATTACTATGCGGATGGAAACGACAGTATATCGTATCATAGTGACGATGAAAGGTTTTTAGGAGCAAACCCGGCAATCGCATCCTTTTCGTTGGGAACGAACCGCGACTTTCTTATGAAGCACAAGCCTGATAAGAAGAAGCCGGCGAAGACTGAAAATGTTCTGAAGGATAAACCACTGAAGCTCACACTAGACTCGGGGGATATGCTGCTCATGCGTGGGGCCAAGAAAGCAAAATGGCTGCATAGTATTCCGAAGCGCAAAGGAGGTGAAAGTGGCAATGGGAGAATTAATATAACGTTCCGGAAGGCGATGGTACCTGGGGGAACCGAGAACTATTACAAGTATAATGTAGGGGAGGGAGGCACTTTTAAATGGAGCAGAAAAGACAAGAATATGATACCATGGACGTCGTGAATTAACCTGCAGATACACTGTAAAAGGGTTGGTACACATAACGAATGGATATGGTACTTTACAATTGATTATAGCGTCGTAGAAAGATAGATATCTATTTTCAGTTGTAGAATTATACACAGAGCGTCAAGATTCATCTAACGAATAGACTAGGGTGAATAACAACCGCTGAATTATCTTCCCATCGACAAATTCAATAAGGTATGCATATTGTTGTAGCTATGTGATTACAGCTTTATTGTATTAACCATGCGTTGCCGGATGTGCGTTGCTATTCACCAATCTTTCATCAGTCAAAGATTCCATTTGTACCGCCGTCGAAAGTAATATCCTAAAATAGATATAAATAAACAAGCCACGCTATAACATATTTGGCTTGTTTGGAATGAAGGTAACGCGTAGCGACAACATAGTACGAGATGATGCAACAGCCCTGTTTTTCGGCGGCATAGCGATGAATTAACGGTGTATCATGCTCATAAAAAAAGTAGTCTGCACTCTCAGGGTTGACTCTATGCCATCACAAACTTCGTTTATATATTATTGATTCTAGCCTGACTTCCAAGCAGTTCATGAAAGACGTACAATGAAGTTTGCCTTCAACTGATCATTATAATTCAGCTACGAGCCGCAATCGAGGTTAACTCGAGCGAGCTCTTTCACAATCGGTTTGTGATCTTTTTCCGGTATCGTACACAACTCCATGTCGACCAAAGTAGATTGGATTGCAGTGAATTACTGTACGTACGTGATTTCTGTGACGAAGTCTACTCAGACAATAGGCCAGGAGGTCCGTACTTTGTGAGACAGTATCCTTGTGTAAAACCAGAACAGTGTGAGCACCTAGCGCTTTTTGGCCTTGCTCACGTTAAGCACGATTGCGCATACCATGTTCCAGAAAATCAGGCTGGAGAGAAACAGCATCAGATCAATATTATAAAAGACTATGAAGCACTTGAGTCTGAGGAGTACGAAGTCGAGGTTCTAGAAGACTCGAATTTGCGCTACTGACCCATACATATTGCTTCCACCGCAGACTACCTGGACATCGCTGACTTGTGGAAAACTATTTTAGGTATAGGTTGAGAAACTGGCCCAGCTCTTATCTACTAGGTAGTGTGCCATGGACTATAGTTTATATGTCAGTACGCAGTTTCCAATGGTTCGGTATAGTGACGAGTTAAACCCCTCGTTATTGGTATCCATGTGAGTGCCTTGTCCCGGAAGGCGTATTAGCTGGCACTATTGTGTACACTATGAAGATGCTGTCATTATATATATATATAATTATATAAATATATTTGTATATATATATATATATATATATATATATATATATATATATATATATATATATGTGTATATATATATATATATATATATATATA